AATTAAAACGGAGCAGGCGGAATTGGCAAGGCTGGCGCCAGAGATGGCACCGGAAGGGACTGTCTGCCTTGGGGGCACAGAGGGACTGCATCCGAGCTGGACGGAGCCACAACGTATCAAAGAGGAGTCGGAAGAGGAGCTCTCGTCCCGGCAATGGGAAGCCCAGTGGCAGGAATTCCTCCGGACTGTGCAGGCCCCACACTCTGGGGGAGAAGGAAGCCCACAGCTCCCAGGGAATGGGGCATGGGGCAAGGCGAAGCCTTCTGGGTCCTCCTTTGAGGGAGCAGCCATTCCCAGCCAGTGGGCTGGAGCAGGAGACAGCAAGACCAGTCTGCCTCCAGGAACAGCTCAGCCGGCTGCTTCCAGACCAGCCGCTGCCAGCCAGGGAAACATCGGGCAAGCAAAGGAATTCAAGACGGAGGACGTCAGCAGCTCTGAGGCTCATCGCCAGCTCTTCCGGCAGCTCTGCTACCAGGACGCCCAGGGCCCTCGCGAGGTCTACGGGCTCCTGAGGGAGCTTTGCCATCAGTGGCTGAGGCCAGAGAAGCACACCAAGGAGCAGATTCTGGACCTGGTGATCCTGGAGCAGTTCCTGGCTGTGCTGCCCTCGGACATGGGGAGCTGGGTGAAGGAGCGAGGCTCAGAGGGCTGCGTCCAGGCCCTGGCCCTGGCAGAGGAATTCCTCCTCAGGCACCAGGAGGCGGAGAAAGAGGGAGGGCAGGTGAGAGAACCATTTGGGGGTCCAGAGTCGACAAAGGGGTTAAAGAAGTGGCCATTTTGCTTAAGGACATGACTCCTGGATTACCCAATGAATGGTTGTGGCTCCCCGGAGATTAATGCCAGGGATACTCCAAGCTATACATGCCGAGAAGTGAATGTGTTCTCTCTTGCTCTGCAGGGGCTGAATGGGAAAAATGTTTTCTCCTCCTCTTTCAGGGACTGAGGACCATTGCAGAGGCGGCTGCTTGTGTCACCGAAGGAGAAAAGCAGGGAAACAGGGTGACTTCAGGTAAAAATTATTTCTTCGCACTTGAATCGTCGCTGGAGGGAGAACTGAGGGGTTTTGTTGTGAGTTTACAGGAAAATGTGATCAAAATATCTGTGTGTCAGATAGGGCTGGGCGATACCTGGTTTTCTACATCGCGATACAAGCTGATATACCAATACAGTCATACCTCAGGTTACAGATGCTTCAGGTTGCGTGTTTTTGGGATACTGATGCGCCGAAACCTGGAAGTACCGGAATGGGTTACATCTGGGTTTCGGCACATGTGCAGAAGCGCCAAATCGCAACCTGCGCATGTGCAGACGTGGCGCTGCGGGTTGCGGGCACTGCGGGTTGTGAATGTGCCTCCCGCATGGATCACGTTCGCAACCCGCTGTATATCACAATGTCTGAAAGTATTGCAGGAGGCATGGCCACTTGAGAAAAACTTTTCTCTATCCATTTTCTCCATGCCCAGAGTGGCTGCAGAAACCCAGGCAGATGGATGGAGAATTTATTATTATTATTATTATTATTCCGTGCATAATTTGATAGACTTCTCTCGTGTCACCTTTTACTTGATTTTCCCCCAAACCCTTGTGGGAGAAAAATTGTGTTGGGGTTCAACACAGAAGCTCACACCAAATTCACAATTAGACTTAATGTGGTAATCCATTAGAGGGCAGAGTCCAGAGAGTCTGTGATTGCTCTCAAACTATATAGGAAAATGCACATTACCTTGGCTGTTTCTGATGGATTGGATCCTAAAATTCCTAGGTCTCCTGATGAATAATAGAGTCCCAGAAGCGTATACAGTTGTACCTTGGTTTACGAACTTAATCCGTTCCAGAAGTCTGTTCTTAAACTGAAACCGTTCTTAAACCGAGGCGTGCTTTCCCTAATGAGGCCTCCTGCCACCGGAGCTCTTCCACCATTCGGATTAGACTGATTAGACTGAGGTAAAGTTCTCAAACCAAAACACTATTTCTGGTTTTGCAGAGTTTGTAAACCAAATCATTCTTAAACCGGACTCTTCTTAAACCGAGCTACCACTGTATTTGGAATGGAGGCGTCATGTAGTAATAATACACACAGAGTCAATGGTCCATCAGTAAAAGGAAAACTTTTACTAAAGGCAAAAAGGCTTCATTACAACAAAAAACAACGACTGCAGAGTAAAAACTGCAAATGTGCGAGGTACAAACAAAAGAGAGAGAGAGAGAGAGAGAGAGAGAGAGAAGCTTGCTGAGCACACAAATTTATCTCTCCTGGCTCAGCATGACCTTCAGATAGTTAGAACAATATTTGCAACAGAAATGAAGCTTCTAGAATGAACTAGAATCTTCCAGCATTTTCCAGATTCTTCCCTCAAAGATTTTAGTTTCATCCTCTGGCCAAGCACCTCATTGTCCCAACCTCTATAATCCATCTGCACTCCTTAGAAACACTCAAACCACTTTTTTTGCAGTATCTGCAGACCCTTTCTCGTACCTTATCTGCAGTTGTCTTTCACTCTAGCCTCATAATGGGTTTAATAGGATTTCTACCTCACGCTGCAACCTTTTCTCATGGGAAGTTGCTCCTGTTCCGTTAATTGAGACTCGTATCTCCCTCTCCTCTTGCAGGTGTTGGCGGAGAAAGCGATCAAGATGGCAAAACGCTGAAAGGGGAAACTGAGGCAAAGCAGGTGTGGAAGACAAAACGTGTCGCTCCCAAAGGCGACGATGTGCATGAAGTTCAGATCAAAGAAGAATATTGCGTTGGAAACGACAGGACTGAATTCCCTCTATGTGCAAAAAACTTAGCTAGTAGGTCACGCCTTAGAGCAGACAGGAGAATGCACGCTGGGGAGAAACCGTTTAAATGCGCCGACTGTGGGGAGAACTTCAGTAGCCGGAAAAGCTACGTTATCCACCAAAGAATCCACACAGGGGAGAAACCTTATAAATGCTCGGACTGTGGAAAGAGCTTCAGGCAAAGGATACAGCTTACCATTCATCAGAGAATACACACAAGCGAGAAACCCTTTACGTGCTCAGAGTGCGGAAGGACTTTCCGTTGCAGCTCGAACCTCATTTCCCATCGGCGAATCCACACGGCGGACAAACTCTTCCGATGTTCGGCGTGCGGAAAGAGCTTCAACCGGAGCAAAAGTCTGACGTTGCATCAGAAAATACACATGGGGGTGAAACCCTTCAAATGCTCAGAGTGCGGGAAGATCTTTAGCAGGAGCAAAAGTCTTAACTCGCATCTAAGGATCCATATGGGGGAGAAGCCATATACATGTTCGGAGTGTGGGAAAAGCTTCCGTAGAAGAACTAGCCTTACTCTGCATCAGAGAAGCCACACGGGGGAGAAGCCGTACATGTGCATCCTGTGTGGAAAGAGGTTCAGCAGGAGCTCAAACCTTCGGTCTCATAAGAAATCCACACTGAGGGGAAACCGTATAAATGTCTGCAGTGTGGAAAGAGCTACCGTCACAGCATCACCCTTGGTATTCATCAGAGAAGCCACACAGGAGAGGAACCTTTTATGTGCCCAGTATGTGGGAAGAGATTCGGTCATAAGCATCACCTTACTTCACATCAGAAAATACACACAGGCGAGAAGCCATTTGCCTGTTCCCTGTGCGGAAGGAGCTTCAGCCACAACATCAGTCTTAAGAGACATCAGAGAATCCACACAGGGGAGAAGCCGTATAAGTGCTCGGAGTGCGGGAAGGACTTCAGTCGGAGCACCAATCTTAGGTCCCACCAGAGAATCCACACGGGGGAGAAACCGTACACCTGCTCCGAGTGCGGAAAGAGCTTCAGTCGGAACACCAGCCTCACTTACCATCAGAGAATCCACACGGGGGAGAAACCCTATAAATGCCTGGAGTGCGGAAAGAGCTTCAGTCGGAAAACGGGTCTTACGTCTCACCAGGAAACCCACAAAGGGAGGAACCGTATTGGTGCTCGGAGCGTGGAAAGAGTTTCGGCAGTCACATGCCCTTTAACTAACGCGAAAGAAACCGTGGAAGGGAAAATGGAGTGAATCCCAATGAGCACAGAAAGAACTTGTGCTGGCATGCAGATCTTCCAAATGATCCTTCTCCAGAAGGTGGTGTGTAAATAATTTAGACTGGATATTTTCCGGACTTCTTTTTCCCCCAAATTTGTTGTTGTTGTCGTTTAGTCATGTCCGACTCTTCGTGACTCCATGGACCAGAGCACGCCAGGCACTCCTGTCTTCCACTGCCTCCCACAGTTTGGTCAAACTCATGCTGGTAGCTTCAAGAACACCGTCCAACCATCTCATCCTCTGTCATCCCCTTCTCCTTGTGCCCTCCATCTTTCCCAACATCAGGGTCTTTTCCAGAGAGTCTTCTCTTCTCATGAGGTGGCCACAGTCTTGGAGCCTCAGCTTCAGGATCTGTCCTTCCAGTGAGCACTCAGGGCTGATTTCCTTCAGAATGGAGAGGTTTGATCTTCTTGCAGTCCATGGGACTCTCAAGAGTCTCCTCCAGCACCATAACTCAAAAGCATCCATTCTTCGGCGGTCAGCCTTCTTTATGGTCCAGCTCTCACTTCCATACATCACTACTGGTTTTCAAATTTAGAAAAATGCAAAAAAAAAAGAAGAAAAAAAAAAGCTTACGGTGCAAAACATGCCATAGTATGTTGTATAAATAAGTAATACACAATTAACTGGCTCAGGCCTAAAAATACAAAGGAAAAATGCAGAAGAGAGAAAGGGAAGAGTGTGTTTGTGTGTTTTGCCTCGCTCGGGTATTTCCTTGAATTCTGTGGACGCCTCTCGCTTGTCTGGATGAAGGATGGAGATTTTGGTATGTGATCACCAGAGCCTTCACAGCAGACCTCATGATCAAGGTTTCCCAAACTTGGGTCTTCCGCTGTTTTCGGACTACAGTTCCTATCATCCCTGACCACTGGTCTTGCTAGCTAGGGATGATTGGAGTTGTAGTCCAAAAACAGCTGGAGACCCAAGTTTGGGAAATACTGGGCCAGATGGTATGCGGAGAGGGGTCTTCCTCAGGGAAAGGTAACTGGCAGACAGGTACTATTGCTATTTCCATTATAAAAGCCTTTATTTTCCATTATAAAGCCTTTATTTTGTAGCATAAAGTTTATACACTGCTTGATTATGTTTTAAAAACACACCTCAAAGTGGTTTACAAAGAGAACGAAAGAGTGAAATAATAAGAAAAAAACCCTCTTAAAACATTCAAAAGATAAAATCAACAATAAGCTAAAAACGGATGCAGCGGCACTCTACATATCTGGGTTTAATAAAAATAAATGTTTTTAGCAGGTGCTGAAAGAGTACAGTGAAGGCACCTGCTTGATGTCAATAGGCAGGGAGTTCCTAAGTGAAGGACCTGCCACACTAAAAGATTGATTTCGTACCAATGGAGAACGGGGATTATGTGGCGCCTGTCAGTTCCGCAGGCAGAAGTGGTCGAGTGGGCAAATACATTTTATTTTCTTTTGTGAAATTCAATCTTTATTATTTTTTAAAAAATACATTTATACAACACTCTTGTTTTTGTTTGTAACAAAAAAAGAAAATGATGGCAACTGAAGCAAAGGTACTTTGTATACCTCACAATACACATGACACTACAATTTATGAAAAAAGAAAAGAAAAGAAAAGAAATAAAGAAGAAAAGTAGTTGAGGTTTTAAAAAAGACTTCCAAACATTCTCATTGCACGTTATCTGTTAAATACACTTTTACCGCAGTCTACGGCTGCATGCACTCTATATACATGAAAAGCACGTGGCTTCCCGCAACAGGAACTATAGTTTCCCCCCTTATGGTGCACCCTTAAACTACGGCTCCCAGGATTCCTCTTTTGGGGGGGTTAGTCGTGCTTTAAAAGCACGGCGCGCTTGCAGGCTAAGGGTTAAAGCAAAAGAGTCCCGCTTCCTAGAGAGGCGGCTGGAACGAAGGAAGGGATTTATGAATGGGAAGAGTCGCATCCTGCCCCTCCCCCGCGACTGGGGGGGTCGGAGGCAGCCTTTGATCTCCCGCCCCCCACGCGCGGCAGCCTTCCTCTCCCTCTCTTCCTTCTCCCCCCTTTCCAAACAAGGGATCTGGTGAGTGCAAACCCCTCGGGGTGAATTGGGGTCCCCGGGGCTGCCGTGGAAGGAGGGTGAGTGGGGAAACTGAGGCAGGGGGGAGAAGGAGGGCTGGGATTGTCGGAAGGGGCCTCGCGGAGAGACCCCAGCCGTAGCTTTAAGGCGAAAGGCAAGGAGGCAGCCTCAGAGTCAGGCAGGCTTCAAAAGAGGATACGTGGAACTGCTTGGACTTGGAAAGGGACCCCGGGGTCATCTAGACCAACCCCCTGTCATGCAAGGAATCCCCGGTGGGCTCGAACCACCAGCCTTCCTGAAGAACTTCCTGACAGTAAGAGCTGTTCGACAGTGGAATTGGCTGCCAAGGAGTGTGGTGGAGTCTCCTACTTTGGAGGTCTTTAAGCAGAGGCTTGAGAACCATATGTCAGGAGTGCTCTGATGGTGTTTCCTGCTTGGCAGGGGGTTGGACTCGGTGGCCCTTGTGGTCTCTTCCAACTCTAGGATTCTATGATTCTAGTCAGCTAGCTTCCCTTTCCTCCGTCGGAGGCAGCAAAATTGACGATTTGCATTGACTGGTCCATATCCAACATTATTGTTGTTATTGTTATTGTTGTTCACTGACAGACTTTCATCTATAATAAAAGTACATATTAGCCTCTCTGTGTTCAATTCATAGAGTTATTTCTACAGGCCATTTACATTCCGTGTGGGACGCTGCTATCATAGGCAATTTGCAACATTATTATAGCTTTTTAAATTAAATTTCTATACTGCCCTTCATCCAAAGATCTTGTGGGGGCTGCAACGAAGAGGCGAGAGGCAGAGAGTCGCCTTCTTTGAGAATAGTCTTGGGCTGGGGTATACTTTAGGGGTTTTCATACCTTTATTTTAGATCTGGTTACATAGGAATCGTCCAATCTGATTTCGTATTTATTGTTTATGATTGCTTTTGTTGTGCCGCAATTGTGCATTTTTTTCTATGTTGTATGGTCTGAACTGATACCGTGGCTCATTCCGTGGAGCAAGAGACTCTGAATCCAAGGTTCGTGGGTTCAAGCCCCACATTGGGTGGAATTGAACCCGGGATCTTCTGCATGCAGGACAACTGCTTTACCCCTGAGCTATGGCCCTTCCTGGATTTTGTAGCTTTTATTCTGTGCCGGATGAATTCCCTCGCTCCCACATCCTCATTCCCAGCCTCTAATTTCCCTCTTGCTTGCCTTGTTTACAGGAAGAAACCTTCATCCTTAACCAGGTGGATTTCCAGTTTTTCCTGCAAAGTACCTTCTCTGCTTGGCGACATGTGCAATTGACCTGTTTCCTATGCTGGATTTGCCTTCACCCTAAATCCCAGGCCGTCAGAAGATTCGGCAGCAAGGGAAGGAGCCGCTCCCGACCTCTTGGGAGCCACAGATCGAAGATGGGAGAGCGGGAGCTGGCTGGGTCCCTAGCAAGACAGGACCCTTGCGTCACCCAGACTAGGAGCAGCGGGGGATTCTGGGAAAGAACTGCACAGGAGATCCCAGGAGAGGAGGTCGTCCTCAGCTCAGATGCTCAGCGCCAGCGTTTTAGGCATTCCCGCTACCAGGAGGCCGAGGGACCCAGAGAGGTTTTGCAGCCGACTCCACCGCCTTTGCCGTCGGTGGCTGAAGCCCAGAGAGACACACCAAGGCTCAGATCCTGGATTTAGTGATCCTGGAGCAGTTCCTGGCTGTCCTCCCCTGGAGATGGAGAACTGGGTCAGGGAATGTGGAGCGGAGACCAGTTCCCAGGCGGTGGCCCTGGCCGAAGGTTTCCTCCTGAGTCAGGCAGAGGAGAAGAAGCAGGAGGAGGAGCAGGTGAGAGAGAGTTTTGTCCTGGTCCTTCCAAAGTGCTCAGAGCATCCAGTTTTAGTAAGGGGCAAAATCAGACACAAAGCAATTTTTTAAAAAAAATAAAGACTCCTTGTGCTGTTGTAAACAAAAATCTGCCCTTTCCCCCCCTATGGGGTATCCAAGAGCCCATATAGAGTCCTTACATAGGTTCCCTATTGGTAGGAGAGAATAACAGAAGTCAACCAGAGAATACAGTGGTGCCTCGCAAGACGAAAAGAATTCGTTCCGCGAGTCTTTTTGTCTTGCGATGTCTTTCGTCTTGCGAAGCAAGGTCCGTCGCAACTGCGCCTCTTCAAGCGACTTTTTTTTAAAAAAGCGCAAGATGTTTCATCTTGCGAAGCAAGCCCATAGGGAAATTCGTCTAGCGAAGCAACGCAAAACCGAAAAACCCTTTCGTCTAGCGAGTTTTTCGTCTTGCGAGGCATTCGTCTTGCGGGGCACCACTGTATTGAGAAGCAAAGATCAGATCCTGGATTTAGTGATCCTGGAGCAGTTCCTGGCTGTACTCCCCCGGAGATGGAGAACTGGGTCAGGGAATGTGGGGCAGAGACCAGTTCCCAGGCGGTGGCCCTGGCCGAAGGTTCCTCCTGAGTCGGGCAGAGGAGAAGAAGCAGGAAGAGCAGCAGGTGAGAGATTCATCCAAGTAGAAGCTTATTTGCATGCAGTGTAAGACTATCAGTCTGTATTGGCTTGTGGTTTCGTTCTGCCTGCCAGAGGCAGTAGATGTCTGTGAATTGCAGTTTCTGGGACTTACAAGTGGGGAAATTCCTGCTGTTGTGCTCAGGTCCTGTTTGTGGATGTTCCAGAAGAGGGATCTGTTTGTCCACCGTGAGAACAGGAGGCTGGACTGAATGGGCCACTGGATTCCGCCAACAGGGCTCTTCTTAACCTCCTTGTTTTTGCCCCTAAGCAGAATATTTTTAGGACTCACCTTATTTTTGAGATTGCAAGTTGTTTTAAACTGTTTTTTAATATTGTGTTTTAATGTTGCAAGCTGCCCTTGTGCCTTAGTGTGAGAGCGGGTAATAAATCCAATAATAATAAATCTAATAATAATAATAATAATAATAATAATAATAGTAGTAGTAGTAGTAGTAAGGTTAAAATAGATTCAGGTAGGTAGCCGTGTTGGTCTGATGCAGTCTATATAGATACACACACACACACACACACACACACACATGTCCTTGAGCTCAGAGCATGATTCCTGCTTGTCTGTATAGAGACACGAATGCAAATATTAATTTAAATGTATGTGTAGAAACCAGCTTCCTTCACAAAAACATCATTTGCATTTCCCACTCCACCCACTATGCGGCCCTCAGAATGTTGCCCAGATGGGAATTCGGCCCCCACGCTGGAAACGCCTCCTTTCATCTGCTCAGAACTCAGAACCTTGCCTTTTGCTTGCATCCTTTTCTTTTCTGATTTCTCTCCTCTCCCTCACCTGGGTCCCTTACATCGCTTCCAGCCCCAGACGCTGCCAGCAGAATTGGTCCCCGCTTCCTCCGAAGCCGAGATGCCTCCGTCGGACTCCAGGCGGAGTCGGCCCTCCTGGGGGATCGCGCAGGAGGGCGAAGGAACGCCAGCTCCCCGGGTAAGAAGGGCAGAGAACATTTCAGCTTCTGCCGGGTGTGCGTAGGAATATAATAACAGTACAGTGGTGCCTCGGGTTACAGACGCTTCAGGTTACAGACGCTTCATGTTACAGACGCTTTCAGGTTACAGACGCTTCAGGTTACAGACTCTGCTAACCCAAAAATAGTACCTTGGGTTAAGAACTTTGCTTTAGGATGAGAACAGAAATCATGCAGCAGTGGCGCAGCAGCAGTGGGAGGGCCCATTAGCTAAAATGGGTGCTTCAGGTTAGAACAGTTTCAGGTTAAGAACAGAGCTGCAGAATGAATTAAGTACTTAGCCGAGGTTTCTATGGAAGCCGCCCAGAGTGGCTGGGGAAACCCAGCCAGATGGGCGGGGTACAAATAATTTATTATTATTATTATTATTATTATTATTGTTGTTGTTTGTTGTTGTTGTTGTTGTTGTTGTTATACCACTGTATAAGCTGCCTTATCCTGATTCAGATCATTGGGTCTATCTTAGATTAGTGTGTCCAACGCTGATTGGCATATTTGAATCCTAGTGTCTCCCAGAGTCCTAGCCTGAGACTCTAACCACTGCAACACACTGCTGTGCGTTCTCTCTCTCTCTCTCTCTCTCTCGCCTGAAACACTAAAAAAAAATGTTCCTAAAGCAATGCAATGCTTCCCACCATTGTTGTTGTTGTTGTTTAGTCATTTAGTCGTGTCCGACTCTTCATGACCCCATGGACCAGAGCACGCCAGGCACTCCTGTCTTCCACTGCCTCCCGCAGTTGGGTCAAACTCATGCTGGTAGCTTCGAGAACACTGTCCCACCATCTCGTCCTCTGTCGTCCCCTTCTCCTTCTGCCCTCCATCTTTCCCAGCATCAGGGTCTTTTCCAGGGAGTCTTCTCTTCTCATGAGGTGGCCAAAGTCTTGGAGCCTCAGCTTCAGGATCTGTCCTTCCAGTGAGCACTCAGGGCTGATTTCCTTAAGAATGGAGAGGTTGGATCTTCTTGCAGTCCATGGGACTCTCAAGAGTCTCCTCCAGAACCAGAATTCAAAAGCATCCATTCTTCGACGATCAGCCTTCTTTATGGTCCAGCTCTCACTTCCATACATTGTGTCATTTCAGGTGCAGGCATGCCAGCAGCCACGCAGACTGAGCCTTCTCCTCTTGCTGGTGGAGGGGCACCTGTGGCACCTGACCAGGTAGGTAGAAGTTTGGGGACAGGCTGGGCGCCTCTGTCCCTGGGCTACTTGTCAAAGGACAAAGGACACACGGCGAGAGGCTGCGTGACACCCTTTGAGGGGCAAAGTTGACCTGCTCAGCCTCGCCCTCCCTGCCTGGGATCCTTAGAAGGAGGAGCAGACTGAACGCAACACCTCTGAACTGCTGCCAGAATTATTATTGGTCAAAATTGGTGGCGGGGGGCGATGAGAACAACACCCTCAAGAGAAAATCCGGGGCATCATATACCTGGTTACCAATATGGTGGAAAAACAGACCTGATGATTTCGTTTCCAGTCTTGTAGACCGTTCCAGAGCATTTCAGAGTGATGAGCAACACGATTAAAATAAGTTGAAATGCCAAAAAACCGAAACAAAACAACAATAAAGCCATTCCAACGTAGCACGGACAGCGAGCCCCTTCTGAAGTTGTCACAGGGTGACTGACGTGATTTTATCGTTTCTCCGCTCCTCCACATGCAGCTGCTGGGTGACCTTGGGCCAGTCACACTTCTCTGAAGTCTCTCAGCCCCACTCACCTCACAGAGTGTTTGTTGTGGGGGAGGAAGGGAAAGGAGAATGTTAGCCGCTTTGAGACTCCTTAGGGTAGTGATAAAGCGGGATATCAAATCCAAACTCCTCTTCTTCTTCTTCTTCTTCTTCTTCTTCTTCTTCTTCTTCTTCTTCTTCTTCTTCTTCTTTATATCTCCTCTCAGACACAGATAAGCATGTGACCTGGCGTGTAGCACTCTTTGCAACTGCTGCTAGGAAAATTAGAGCAAATTATATAGCCGAGGTAGCCACCAACGGTTAAGGAGATGGATTTATTTGACCCTATCTACATCAAGCTATATTCTTTCTTTATCACCGAACTCTGAATATAATTGCACATTGTATTAATTAACATTATTTTAAAATATATTAGTAGCCATGAGATAATTTTAGCTTATAAATTTTATTGTTTAATGTCTTAATTTGTATAAGGTACTTTTATAGCTCTGTTTAGAGTAGGTAATGTCTTGATAATATAAATGTTTTAAGTTTTTTGTATCAATTCAGTATATTTTCTTTTAATTGTTGAATGATTCTGTGTACATTGCGGCAGCCTTTAGCCATGTGCAATAAAACTGACTGACTGACTGACTGACTGGTGCCAAGCCCCGCCCACCAGCCAAACTGGCCTGTGGTTGGTGAGAGATGCCAGGATGTGGCTTACAATAATTGATTATAATTGTTTGTTTAATGATGAGAATCCATTCTATAGTCTGCAAGGAGAAACTGTTTTCTTCTTCTTCCCCTTCCAGGGTCTGGTGACGTTTGAGGAGGTGGCGGTGGATTTCACAGAGGAGGAATGGGCCTTATTGGATCCAGACCAAAGAGCCCTGCAGTGGGAAGTCATGGTGGAGAATTATGGGATTCTGGCTTCCCTGGGTAAGGCTTATTGATTTAACAAAACCTATATACTGCTTGGTTGCATTTTTTTTTTTAAAGAAGCAAACTTCTAAGCACACAAAAATGATAAAACATTAAAATCATCAAGAAAAGCAACTAAAAGCAGGTATTTAAAACATTCAAAAGATGATTAAGAGGTCATTAAGATGATTAAGAGATAGAACACATGCCTAAACAAAAATGCGCTAAGCTATCACTTGGCAAGGAGTTCCAAAGTGCTGCCACATTAACAGATAGATATTTCTTACATTGTTTTGAGTACCGTGTTTCTTCTCAGTACAGTGGTACCTCAGGTTACAGACGCTTCAAGTTACAGACTTCGCTAACCCAGAAATAGTGCTTCAGGTTAAGAACTTTGCTTCAGGATGAGAACAGAAACCTCGCGTCGGTGGCAGTGGGAGGCCCCATTAGCTAAAGTGGTACCTCAGGTTAAGAACAGTTTCAGGTTAAGAATGGACCTCCAGAACGAATTAAGTTCTTAACCAGAGGTACCACTGTGTGTAAACAGAGTCCTTATCTAGAGGTTCTGCACAGGAGTCACCTTAAACAGCATCAGAGGCCTGTCACTACATTTTTAGTTAATGGCAATCAGCAAAATTAGTTTAATATTGGCCAGATCTACCTTCCATTCTGACGTGAGCAGCAGCAGACGTTCCCTCATTTAGAGGCTCCGTTTTCTCCTTGCGATCTTACTAGGACCCTCGTACCTACAGGACCGCCTCTCCCGGTATGCCCCACGGAGGACCTTAAGGTCCATAAATAGCAACACCCTAGAGGTCCCGGGCCCTAAGGAAGTTAGATTAGCTTCAACCAGAGCCAGGGCCTTTTCAACACTGGCTCCGGCCTGGTGGAACGCTCTGCCTCATGAGACCAGGGCCCTGCGGGATCTGATTTCTTTCCACAGGGCCTGTAAGACAGAGTTGTTCCGCCTGGCCTTTGGCTTGGAGCAAATTTGATTCCCTCCCTCTCTTTCTTTTTTCTTTTCCTTTCTCCTCCTGCGATGAGGCTACATTTTAATATTTTAATGTTTCAATATTTTAATGTTGTATTTTAATCTTGTTTTTAAGTTGTTTTTATTATTGCTTGTTAGTCGCCCTGAGCCTGGCCTTGGCTGGGGAGGGCGGGGTATAAATAAAAATTATTATTATTATTATTATTATTATTAATAGTTTTCTCTCCTTCCTTCAGCAGGAGATGGGTGGAAGAATGGGAATGAAGTAACACCGTGCGCGGTCTCCTTGGAAAAAGCCAGACGTTCAGAGTGGGAAGAGCAGAAAAGGGAAACTGAGAAGAGGGAAAATCCCTTCCTTGCTTCCGGCATCTGCAAAATCACAATGCACGAAAAGACGGACACCGAAAAGAAGCGGATCGTGTGTGCCGTGTGCGGGAAAAGCTTCAGCCGCAAATCGCACCTTAACGAACATCAGAGAATCCACACTGGGGAGAAACCCTACAAATGCGCCGAGTGCGGCAAGAGCTTCCGCCGGAGCACAGACCTCTCTTCTCATCAGAGAACCCACACGGAAGAGCAGCGGTTCAAATGCTCCGAGTGCGGGAAGAGTTTCCGGGGGAGCTCGGACCTCCGGTCTCACAAGCGGATCCACACCGGGGAGAAACCGTACGCCTGCTCTCTGTGCGGGAAGAGCTTCAGCCACAGCATCAGCCTCAACTCTCATCAGAGAATCCACACAGGAGAGCAGCCGTTCAAGTGCTCCGTTTGCGGGAAAAGCTTCACGCGCAACACGGGCCTGACTCTGCACCACAGAATCCACACCGGGGAGAAGCCGTACACTTGCTCCTTGTGCGGCAAGAGCTTCAGCCACAGCAAAAGCCACGCCATCCACCTCAAAGTGCACGCAGGGGAGAAACCCTACACGTGCTCAGAGTGTGGGAAAAGTTTCATCGGGAGCTCGTATCTTAAGTCACATCAGAGAATCCACACAGGAGAGAAGCCCTATACGTGCCCTGTATGTGGGAAAAGCTTCAGGTGGAGTACAAACTTTAACGAACATAAAAGAATCCACAGGGGGGAGAATATGGTGAATCCTAGGAATCCCTGGATTGGAGAAAGTCCCCCTGGTAAGGCACAGATCTTCATAATGGAGGATTCACTCTAAGGCAGAGCTTCACAAACTTTCCATGTCGGGGACGCACTTTTGAGACATGCGTCATTTTGCGACACAGCAGTTCAGTTTTACTAGCAAACCGGAGGTTAAACTCGCGAGACACACTGCAGCCAACTTAGCGTAACACGACACACAGTTCAGAAAGCTCTGCTCTGAGGAGCAAGGAAGGCTGTAGACCAGGAGTCAGCAAGCTTTTTCAGCAGGGGGCCGGTCCACTGTCCCTCAGACCATGTCGGGGGCCAGACTATATTTTTTTTGGGGGGTGAATGAATTCCTATGCCCCACAAATAACCCAGAGATGCATTTTAAATAAAAGGACACATTCTACTCATGTAAAAACATGCTGATTCCTGGACCACCTGCGGACCGGAATTAGAATGCAATTGGGCCAGATCCGGCCCCTGGGCCTTAGTTTGCCTACCCATGTTGTAGAGACGAAAGCTCTCCCAACTAACAGAGAATCCTAAGCTCAAAATGTAACAGAGACAAACTGTTATCACAAGAGGGAGAATCAGTGAGTGTCAGGAGGAAACTGTGGTGGAAGACAACACTGGGAACGGCCGCTGGGACCATATAACACCGGTCCTAAAATATCTACATTGGCTCCCAGTACATTTCTGAGCACAATTCAAAGTGTTGGTGCTGACCTTTCAAGCTCTAAACGGCCTCGGCCCAGTATACCTGAAGGAGCGTCTCCACCCCCATCATTCAGCCCGGACACTGAGGTCCAGCTCCGAGGGCTTTCTGGCAGTTCCCTCCCTGCGAGAAGAGAGGTTACAGGGAACCAGACAGAGGGCCTTCTCGGTAGTGGCGCCAGCCCTGTGGAACACCCTCCTGACAGATTTCAAGGAAATTAATAACTATTTGACTTTTAGAAGACATCTGAAGGCAGTCCTGTATCGGGAAGATTTCAATATCTGATGTTTTGTTGTGACAACCCAGGATTTACAGAATGTTGACAGCACATTCTTTGTAAAGAAACCAGAATTTGAGCAGTCTGTACAATCTGTCAACTGAGAGAGAAGTAACCCTGGGCTGTCTGAAGGCAGATGCCGGTGTATATTTTTATTTATTTATTTTGCTGGACTTTCTGACTCTCGGTTCCTGGTGCGCTTCATTTTAACTCTCCACCCCGAGAGTTATCTGTCCCATGCCTGATAGCATCGTCTCGCTTGTGGCGTTCCATTGTCTGGGTGTTGTGTTAATAAAGATTTCCCCTCTAACTTGGATTGCAGCCTGTGTGTCTGTTTCGTAGGCATTTGAAAATATTAGCACTGCGATAGATTTTATTGCGGCTTTCTTTTTTTAAAAAAAGAAACACCACATTTTTATTGCATTTTCATTATACAGAAATGTAAACTGAATAGACGTAAGAGAATACAAGCGTAAAAGCAGCAGAAGGGAAGGCAATATTAAATCTCTAAATTTCCAGGTAAGCGTTACGAAGAACTGTGCCCAGCGGTTAGAGCTGTTGACAGTGGAACTCTCCCTCGGGAGGTGATAGACTCCCCTTCCCTGTCCGGATGCTATAGCTGAGATTCTGGCATTACACGGGGTTGGACTAGATGACCCCGGTGCCCCTTCCAACTCTACAACTACGGATTCATATAGCATACAGTGGTACCTTGGTTTTTGAACGTAATCCGTTCCGGAAGACCGTTTGACTTCCGAAACGTTTGAAAACCAAGGCGCAAAGGGTGGCCTGCAAATTTAACTGAGAAAATGGAAAAACAGCAGAAGCCGTTCAACTTCGGAGGTGCGTTTGAAAATGGAAGCATTTAGAAGAAGAAGAAGAAGAGTTTGGATTTGATATCCCGCCTTTCACTCCCTTTAAGGAGTCTCAAAGTGGCTAACATTCTCCTTTCCCTTCCTCCCCCACAACAAACACTCTGTGAGGTGAGTGGGGCTGAGAGACTTCAGAGAAGTGTGACTAGCCCAAGGTCACCCAGCAGCTGCATGTGGAGGAGCAGAGACGCGAACCCGGTTCGCCAGATTACGAGACTACCGCTCTTAACCACTACACCACACCGTATTTTTCTGTCTATAAGATGCCCCCATGTATAAGACTATTTTGGAGGACTCCGATTTAAGAAAATGGGGGGAGATGGTCCCCATGTATAAGACGCCCCCAAATTTTGGACATTATTTTTTAGGAAAAAATCCTAGTCTTATAGACGGAAAAATGCGGTACTTATGGGTTTTTAGCGTTTGAAAACCAAAATGTTCAGCTTCCGAGATTTTCAAAAACCGAGGTACCACTGTATAGTGGTACATCAGGTTAACAACTTAATTCGTTCTGGAGGGCCATTCTTAACTGACTTCCGGAATGAATTAAGTACGTAACCAGAGGTACCACTGTATTAATAAGATAATAAAACAACAGTATCCTGTCAGTATCCTTCCTGACAGTAAGATAATAATGATAATAATAATAATAATAATAATTCCCAAAAGAATATTAAAAACATGATAAAACATCAACATTAAGAGCTGTTCGACAATGGAACGGTCTCCCTCAGGAAGTGATGGGCTCTCCTTCCTTGGAGGTTTCTAAGCAGAGGTTGGCTGGCCATCTGCCATAGATGCTTTGGCTGAGATTCCTGCATTGCAGAGGGTTGGGCTGGATGACCCTCCGGTGTCCCAACTCATTCGATTCTATGCAGCTAAGCAGAAACATGAAGAGAAGCAGAAACCCGGAAAGCAGGTGAGAAACCAGCCAATTTCATTTCTGTTTGGGGCTATGCCTCTGCTTGCTTTAGCCTGCAGCTCTTCCAAACCCCAACCCCACCCCAGCCGCACAGCTCTTTATTCCTCGCCAAAGCCACTCTCCTTGCCAAAAACCTCCCGTTAGACGTTGCCAAACCTCAGCAGGTCACCTGGGTCACCCACTTGTCTCTTCCTCACCCTCGGGTGCTGGTTCCCTCGCCCGACCTTAGCTTGGGTGTGCATAGAATCATAGAATCATAGAGTTGGAAGAGACCACAAGGGCCATGGAGTCCAACCCCCTGCCAAGCAGGAAACACCATCAGAGCACTCCTGACATATGGTTGTCAAGCCTCTGCTTAAAGACCTCCAAAGTAGGAGACTCCACCACACTCCTTGGCAGCAAATTCCACTGTCGAACAGCTCTTACTGTCAGGAAGTTCTTCCTAATGTTTAGGTGGAATCTTCTTTCTTGTAGTTTGGATCCATTGCTCCGTGTCCGCTTCTCTGGAGCAGCAGAAAACAACCTTTCTCCCTCCTCTATGTGACATCCTTTTATATATTTGAACATGTACACTCCTGTACACTCCTGTCTGCCTGATGACAGATAACTACAAATAAAATAGGGAGAGAAGAGCAGAGAGGTGATACTCCTCTTTCTCCCTGCTTGTTGATTAATCCTAGAATTGTAGAAGGGACCCCGAGGGTCATCTAGTCCAACCCCAGATAAGAGAAGAGAACAACAACAAGAAAGCCTAGCAATTTTAAAATTATTATTAGAACCAAGCAGAACAGCAACGGAGAAAGTTGTCTTTTACTATGTCGGGCTATTGCTCCATTAAGTTTAGTATTGTCTCCGCTGACTGGCAGCGACTGCCCAGGGTTTCAGGCAGAAAACATCTCTGGAGTTGGTGCTGGGGAATGAACATGAGAGGCCCCCTGCATTCAAAGTACATTCTCTTCCCTCGAACTGTAGTTTTCCCTCACTTTCCTCCTCACTGGAGAACCAGTGTGGTGTAGTGGTTATGAGCGGTGGACTCGTAATCTGGGGAACTGGGTTCGTGCCTTCGCTCCTCCACATGCAGCTGCTGGGTGACCTTGGGCCAGTCACACTTCTTTGAAGTCTCTCAGCCCCACTCACCTCACAGAGTGTTTGTTGTGGGGGAGGAAGGGAAAGGAGATTGTTAGCCGCTTTGAGACTCCTTTGGGTAGTGATAAAGCGGGATGTCAAATCCCAAACTCTTCTCTTCTTCTTCTTCTACTTTAAAGGTAAATTCAGACTCCAGTCTTCCTCATTCTAAACACAGACACATAAAACGTAAAGGACCCCTGGACAGTTAGGTCCGGTCAAAGGCATCTATGGGTTATGGCGCTCATCTCGCTTTCAGGCCGAGGGAGCCAGTGTTTGTCCACAAACAGCTTTCTGGGTTATGTGGCCAGCAGGACTGAACCACTTCTGGTGCAACGGGACACCATGACGGAAACCAGAGCGCACAGAAACGCCGTTTACCTTCCCGCCGGAGTGGTACCTATTTATCTACTTGCACTGGTGTGCTTTCAAACTGCTAGGTTGGCAGGAGCTGGGACAGAGCAACGGGAGCTCACTCCATTGCGGGGATTCGAACTGCTGACCTGATTGGCAAGCCCAAGAGGCTCAGTGGTTTAGACCACAGCGCCATCCACATATCCGTGTTGTCCGTTCTAGCTTTTGTTTCTGCTTCTGCTGCACTTTGGACTGGATTTTCCCGCAGTCTGTTGTGCTCTCCAGATAATATGGATTATGACTCCCTTTCCCACCAACACAGGACAACAACCAGCTCCCATGGTCCCCTGGGGGAAGCCAAGGCTCCCCATGGCTGCCCTTGCATACCCTCCAGCTAAAAATAAGAACAATAACAAAACAACAACAACAACAACATTTATACCCTGCCCATCTGTCTGGGTTGCCCCAGCCACTCTGGGTGGCTTCTAACATGTCTAAAAGCACAATAAAACATTAAACATTTTTTTAAAAGCTTCGCCTTCAGATGTCTAGAAGGCATAGGTACAGTTACTTGTCTCCTTGAGACAAGTTTTGACATACAGAAATTCACTTGTTGGGTGTGTGTTTTTTGCTTTTTTGCTGCAAAATCACTTTGAGATAAAAGAATGGAAAGGGTTTGTTGAATATTTACAGATAAATTGTAAACAGATAAAAACCTTAGCAGGATGAGGGTAATAACCTGCAGTTTCCTAAGAGGATATATTTACAGTAGATAATTAAATGAGCAAATTAAATGAACTTGGATATGCGGAAGATATTAAGAAATAAATTTAGGGGACCGCAGAAGGCGGGGGGAGGAAATCAAATTTTGAAATGTCGAATGGATTGTAAAACTAATGAAATGTATAAATTTGAAAAGTAGCTTTTTAAAATAAAATTACTTTTTTTGGAGAGGAAGCAATTCATAAATGAGAATAAACTGATTGCGCAAAGAGAGGGATCCAGCCTAAGGGTTAAGGGGAAGAGTGTCTGGGTTCCTAGAGAGCCCTGGAAGGAGGCTCTGGAAGGGTCACATCCTGCCCCGCCTCCTTCTAAAGATGCTTTGATTCTTATGATTTGCAGGTCCCCCCAGATGCTGCACAGATGGTCTCCACCTCCTGCCCTCTCCATCCAGGGATCCGGTGAGTCCAAAGTGCATTTGGGGGGGTGCACTGGGGCGCTGATGGAGGAGAAGCCCAAGGCAGAAAAAATTGGGAAGCGGGCATTGGAAGCAGAGCCAGAGAGGGCAAGGGAGACAAAAGGCAGGCAGGCTGGAAATGGAAGTGCCTTAGCTGGGTTGGTCGAGCAGAAAGTCCCGGGGCTCAGACCCCAACATCTCTGTCTGAAACTCTGGAGGGCAGCTGCCAGCCCGTGTGGGCAATGCCAAGCTGGGTGGATCAGTGGTCTGCCTCCGATTCAGGGCAGGTGGCCAGGCTCCTCCGAATAAAGCATCTTCCGGTGTTCCTATTTAACTGGAGGGCTGTAGTAAACTGCGGTGGTAAACGCTTAAAAAAAATATTTATTGAGAATTTTAAAAGTACATCAATATATGTGCACTAAACACGGTGAGACGTAAATAAAAGAGAGAAAAGAAGAAGAGAAACAGAAGGGAAAACAAAGAGGGGAGAGGGAACCCCCCCCAAACTGTATACTTTACAAAGTTATTATTGTAATTTACCAGATCTTAACCTATGACAGTATTTGTAAGAATGGATTCCAAATGTCATTGTGTTTGTCTATAGCAAGTCTGTGTTTGTATGCAGGTTGTTCATATGCTGCGAGTTTGTATAAGTCTTCAATCCAAACATAGAAGGGAGCCACATTTTTATTTTTCCAATTCATCAGTATCAGTCTTTTTGCTGTGGTCAGGGCAGGGAGAGTTCACTCGTATTGTCCTTTTGTAAGGTTCCATGTGCTGGGTATGTAATTCAAGAAGGTGTGTCCGCCCTTATATAGACACTTTAAATTGCCCGCCTTGGAGTCCAAGAGCACCCCAGACACATCATACCTACATCACAGAAGGGGTGTAGCTCAAGAGAAAACTGAGTGCATTGTTTATCTCCTGTCATTGTTTTACTCCTGTCTGGCAGGTTACCTGTTAACGCTTACTTGATTGGATACCCTGGGGAGCCTGGCCAGTCTTTTGTAATGATAACTACTTAGTTCCTGAGCCAGGTCACAGGCTCACCCTATTCATAAACAGACATACCCTTAAGACAGGATTTGTGAATGAAAAGACAATGGGGAGGCTTTTCCATTTTCCTTTGACCTCGCAGAGAAAACATTTGGTCAGTCTGGGAGCCAAAATGGTTCCGGGACTGCTTTCCTGTGCTGCTTCAGATATGTAATTTATATATTTATGTATGTGTTTGCTTGGTACATTTATGAACATTTATTATATATACAGTGGTACCTCTGGTTACGTACTTAATTCATTCCGGAAGTCCGTTCTTAACCTGAAACTGTTCTTAACCTGAAGCACCACTTTAGCTAATGGGGCCTCCTGTTGCCGCCACACGATTTCTGTTCTCATCCTGAAGCAAAGTTCTTAACCTGAGGTACTATATCTGGGTTAGCGGCGTCTGTAACCTGAAGCATACGTAACCTGAAGCGTATGTAACCCGAGGTGCCACTGTATAAGACCTTAATTTATTTATTTCAATCGTTTGCAGGAAGAATCCTCGTTCTCAACGCTGACCAGCTAATGCTTTCTGACTTCTGGGGGGGGGGCCGGCGGCGGCGTGTGCAACTGTTGCGCTGCAAAAAGTCTGGCCTATCTTTGCCCAATTTGTCCCCCTTCCCCCCAAATCCCAATGGTTAGGAGGAAGATGGTGGCCGGTCAATGAGGCTTTTCAAGCCTCCTGCGGGTCTGAGGAGAAGGGCAGCCTGAAGATGGAAGGGAGAGACACGGATGCCCCAAAAACAGGAAGAACCCCCCAAAATGTCAAGACTGTGAGCAGCAGGGGGTTCTGGGAAAGGATGGTGCAGAAGGACCGGGGCATCCATAGGCCACATGCTGAGTGCCAACGCTTCAGGGGGGTCGGCTGCTGGGATGACCAGGGACCCCGAGAGGTTTGCAGCCGACTCTACCATCTCTGCCGTGAGTGGCTGAAGCCGGAGCGACACACCAAGGCTCAGATCCTGGATTTAGTGATCCTGGAGCAGTTCCTGGCTGTCCTCCCCCCGGAGATGGAGAACTGGGTCAGGGAATGTGGAGCAGAGACCAGTTCCCAAGCGGTGGCCCTGGCAGAAGGTTTCCTCCTGAGTCAGGCAGAGGAGAAGAAACAGGAAGAGCAGCAGGTGAGAGAGAGTTTTGTCCTGGTGCTTTCAAGGTGCTCAGAACGTCTAGTTTTAGTAAGGGGCAAAATCAGACACAAAGCAATTTTAAAAAATAAATCAAGACTCCTTGTGCTGTTGTAAACAAAAATCTGCCCTTTTCCCCTTATGGGGTATCCAAGAGCCCATATAGAGTCCTTAGGTTCCCTATTGGTAGGAGAAAATAACAGAGGTCAACCAGAGAATATTGAGAAGCAAAGCAGCTAGTAAGTTTGATCTTTACTGATCTGTTGCAACAGGGTGCTCACCTCACCCGCAGGAAAGGAGAAGGAACCCTGAAAAATGGCGCGCAAGGCCTTAAATGGACTTTTGAAATTGCCACCCTGTAGATCAAGACGGGTGGGATGCGGGTGGCGCTGTGGGTTAAACCACAGAGCCTAGGACTTGCCGATCAGAAGGTCGGCGGTTCGAATCCCCACGACAGGGTGAGCTCCCTTTGCTTGGTCCCTGCTCCTGCCAACCTAGCAGTTCGAAAGCACATCAAAGTGCAAGTAGATAAATAGGTGGCGGGAAGGTAAACGGTGTTTCCGTGCGCTGCTCTGGTTTGCCAGAAGCGGCTTAGTCCTGCTGGCCACATGACCTGGAAGCTGTATACCGGCTCCCTCGGCCAGTAAAGCGAGATGAGTGCCGCAACCCCAGAGTCGGCCACGACTGGACCTAATGGTCAGGGGTCCCTTTACCTTTAAGGTGCTATTGGAAGAAACAATTGATAGTGTTTCATAAATATTGCCAATACATTATTAGCCCACATGTTGCCTTTTGTTGATCAGATTGCCCCTCGGAGCTGGCATCACGCGGAGCTGGTCCTCAGTGGCGGTAGCCTCTCCTCCTCCTCCTTGCCCACTCTCTGGCAACTGCTCCGAGGAGGCTGGCAGCAGAGGCCACGGAGAGGCGATGGGACGCTTGCCGCTCGGGACAAGCGCCCGCTCATTGTCCTCCCTGAGCTTGGAGGCAGCGGCACTGGCAGGGGAAATAGGGATGTTCCAAGATCGAATCCGGGCACGGGATGGATTTCATAATCCCGGGAATGTCCCTGTAAAATCAGGGCACTTGAGGGTATGAGAAAGCACCTGAGAAGGGGCGTGGCCTGGGCAGAAGGTTGGGGGCGTGGCCTGGAGGGAATGTTGGGGAGGGTGTGTGGCCTGTGGAAGAGTCTCGCTGGGATTCATGCCAGTTCCCTCACCCTTATCTTATGGGTTTCTCACTGCTGTTTTACGCAAAGGCCCTGTTAGGAGAAGTCGCTGCTGAGTTCCCCAAGGCAGAGGAGACATCGCCAGAGGATGCCACGCGGAGGCTGTTGTTCAGGTGGATGGTGCAGGAGGGCGATGGAGGGACCGCCATGCCAGGTGAGGGCGGGAGCAGATATTTTGCCACTTGGCCTCCCTCTGCTGGCTGCGCTCAAAATCCCCCAGGGGCTGTTTTTACATTCCCCTTCAACACTACATGAGGGACGAAAAGTGTTAATGGCTAGGAAAGCACCAAAAAGAGGTGGTGGTGTATTCGAATCCCGCCCTGAAGCCCATCTCCACGGCAGGCTTTGCCAACCTGGGTCTCACTGGATGTAGTTGGACAACTGCCATCATCTGTGTTGCTGTAAGAAGTGGATTCACAAAAGCCAACCCTTAGGGGCCGAAATCCCTTTGCCCACCCCCACCCCCAAAAAAAATATTTGAGGGGGCTGGGCCCGCCTCAAGTTGCCAGACATTGCTGTTTAAATGGTGTGTGATCTCCGCTTCTTGTGATTGATTATGGGGGGGGGGCAGAGCTTACCTGCCCCCCTCCCCAATATTTTATTAAAGTTGGCTGAGTGGAATTTGCATGCTTCATCCTTGTGGAAACTTAAAAAGCAGTTGCACTGTAAATCTGCTTCCACAGCCAGTGGCGTAGCTAGCTGCTTGGGTGCCCGGTACAGCGTCCTGCAGCCGGGGGTGAGGAGAGCTGCCCATAGGGGTGGGACAAGCTGTTCAAGGGGGTGGGGCAAGCCAAGGCAGGGAGCGCTGTATGGAGTCTCTCTGCAGCCTCCCTCTCAACTGTAGGGCAGCTGAGGGGGTGGGCAGGCGGAGCTTGCAGGCAGTCTGCCCGCTGCCTCCCCCTGAGGAAAGATGCGTTGCTCAGGCCTGCTGCAGGCCCCGCAGTGTGGCACCCAGTATTCCCTGCCTAATCTAGCTACCAGTGGCATAGGAAGGGGGGTGTGGTGAGTGCAGGAGTTCTTTTTTTTAAAAAAAGTGCCGTGAGCCCAATTTTTATTTATTTATTTTAAAACACATATTTTTGCCATTTTGTCACCTGCCTCAGTGATGACACCTGGGGCGGCCCACACCCAACACCCCCCCCTTCCTTCGTCACTGTTTGCAGCAGGTAATCTGTCAAAACCAAATTGTGCCCAGGAAAGAAAAAGTGTCAGCCAGCTAGCCCTGAGGATTATCTAATGCTTATTTCCCCTAAATTGATTTTTGAATTTATTGTTATTCATGTTTTTATACTGTATTTTATGCTGCTTTTTATAATTAAGTGTTTTAAATTTGTTGGTAGCCACCCTGAGCCTGGTTTTTTAACCGGGAAGGGTGGGGTATAAATAATTTTATTATTATTATTATTATTATTATTATTATTATTATTATTGTTTTGCAAGTCGACGAGATGCATAAACTCTTAGCAAGGATTTCAACCACATTTGTGTGAATTGCAGGTGGCGGAAAGTCGCTGGGAATGGCTACAGAATCATCTCCTCTCTGTGGTGGATCAGAAGCATCCGATTTGCAGCTGGATCCGGTAAAGGACGGATCGTTGGACAGATCAGATCGACTGGCTCCATCCCCTCCCCCTCCCCTGCAGGCTGAAGAGAATCTGCCTCTTTCCCTTTGCTTGTGTCAAAGCGCCACATGGGGGAAATCCTCTGTAGGCCCCTCCGTGGAGGCCGGATGACAGAATCATAGAGTTGGAAGAGACCATCTAGTAGTCCAACCCCTTGTGGAGGAGCTGTTTTTGATCGTCTCCTTTCCCTTCCAGGTTCCGGTGACGTTTGAGGAGGTGGCTGTGTATTTCACGGAGCAGGAGTGGGCCCTGTTGGATCCGGGCCAAAGAGCCCTGCAATGGGAAGTCATGGTGGAGAATTATGGGAATCTGGCCTCTCTGGGTAAGGCTCCTTCTTTCCCTTTGGTTGATGAAGTCAATTTCAAAAGCCTTGATAGATAGATAGCTTCCTTGGACTCGCCTAGGTCCTTTGCGAACCTGCCAAGAGAAATCCCATCGCGGAGCACTTTTGTGTATGGAACGGATGGAGAATCTGAAGCTCGGGGGCCAAATCTGGTCCTCCAAGCCTCTCTGTCTGGCCCCCTCTTTCTCTAGGCCACAAGGCCTTCTCATGGACCCACAAAACACCTGAGCCCTCCCCTTCCCGCGCTGCCCCTCGCTTGGTCCTTAGGTGCTAAAAGCAGGTCCCCTTTTCTTTTTTGAAAAGTACATTCAACTGGAAGAGGAAGTCAGAAGTACAACGCTCTGCCCCACTTCCTTTCGGAGCACTATGTGCTTTTCGAGGCTCAGGTCAATTTCATTGGATCCGAGTTTTACCACATCCTTTGGGAAGGTGAAGCACGTGCGCCCACACTTTCTTGGTTTCTCCCTCTCCTGGGGGAGGTGAGAGAAAAGTGGCCGGAGGGATTGGAGCCCAGAGCACTCATTCAGAAATCCAAATGGGCCTCAAAAGATTGGCAGATAATTGGGTTTGGCTCCTAGTTTGATGATCCATTTCTCCATCAGGAGAAATGTGCTTTTTAGTATGTTTCTGAGCACAATTCAAAGGGTTGGTGCTGACCTTTAAAGCCCTAAATGGCCAGTATACCTGAAGGAGCGTCTCCACCCACATTGTTCTACCCGGACACCGAGGTCCAGCACCGAGGGTCTTCTGGCGGTTCCCTCACTGTGAGAGGCCAAGTTACAGGGAACCAGGCAGAGGGCCTTCTCAGTAGTGGCGCCCGCCCTGTGGAACACCCTCCCATCAGATGTCAAGGAGATAAACAACTATCTGACTTTTAGAAGACATCTGAAGGCAGCCCTGTTTAGAGAAGTTTTTAATGTTTGATGTTTTAATTGTGTTTTTAATATTCTGTTGTGAGCTGCCCAGAATAATAATAATAATAATAATAATAATAATTATTATTATTATTATTATTATTATTATTATTATTACCCTACCAGTGTTCTCCTTCTAATCCAGCAGATGACGCCTGGGTGAGCCGGAACGAGGAAAAGCCTCATGGAGCATCCTTTAAAAGGGCCCGATGTACAGAGGGGGAGGTACATAGAAGGACAACGGAGAGCAATGCAAAAGAGATAAGGAGGAACAAATCTGCTTTTGAAGGGACGTTTTCCCCTGAAATAACAATTCAAGGGGAAATGTGCCGTGCGAAAACGTCATTTCCGGAGGCTGACTTTGTCGAGGCAGAAACCCAAGAAGAAAGGAGTGAAGGCAAGAAAAAGATTGAGTGTGAGGTGTGTGGGAAAAGCATTAGTAAATCCCACCTTAACGAACACAAACGAACCCACACGGGGGAGAAACCTTTTCAATGCTTGGAGTGTGGGAAGAGCTTCAGTCGGCGGGAACACCTTACTTCTCATCAGAGAACCCACACAGAGGAGAAGCCTTACACGTGCTTGCAGTGTGGGAAAAATTTCAAACACAGGAAAAACATGACATCCCATCAAATTATACACAGTAGGGGGCTAACTTGCAACTCCTCGGAGTGTGGAAATTGCCTCACTCCCAGCCTTACTTTGCAGCACCACGCTCTGGAGAAACCATTTAGATGTTCAGAGTGTGGCAAGAGTTTCAGTCGGAGCACAGACCTGAGGTCACATCAGAGAATCCACACAGGGGAGAAACCGTACTCGTGTTCATTGTGTGGAAAGAGCTTCACCCACAGCCGAAGCCTGAGCTCCCATAAAGTCACGCACACAGAGGAAAGACCGTTCGAGTGCTCAGAGTGTGGCAAGAGCTTCAGTCGGAACACCAGCCTTACTATTCATCAGAGAATCCACACAGGGGAGAAACCGTATACGTGTTCCCTGTGCGGGAAGAGTTTCAGTCACCGAAGAAGCCATGCTATTCACCTAAAAGTGCATGCAGGGGAGAAACCTTTTACATGCTCAGACTGTGGGAAAAGCTTCATCGGGATTTCATACCTCAAGACACATCAGAGAATCCACACTGGGGAGAAGCCATATACATGCCCCGTGTGTGGGAAGAGCTTCCGGTGGAGCACACACTTCAAAGAGCACAAAAAAATCCACGTGGAGGAGACTCTGGCGAATCCTAGAAATGCCTGGATTGTGGAGAAAACTCCCAAGAGAGCACAGATGGTCGTGTCAGGGGATTCACTCCCAGGAGAAAGGAGATATACATAGACTAGTGCTTTTCTGCCCAACTAAACTATACTGTCTGACAGATAATTCACAACAGGAGAAAGGGTGGGAGTGAGAAAATAGATGCTCAAACTGTGGCTGAAACTCCATCACCACGCAAGCTATAGAGAGAACGTGAGCAAGAAATATAAGATACAGTGGTACCTAGGTTGTCGAACGCTTCGGAAGCCAAACGTTTCGGTTTTCAAATGCCGAAAACACAAAAGTGAATGCTTCCGTTTTTGAACATGCCTCGGAAGTCGAACGGCTTTCGAGGTGCATTTGTCCGTTTTCTCAATGGAATTAGCCGACTGCCCATTGCGCCTCGGTTGTTGAACGTTTTGGAAGTCGAACGGTCTTCTGGAATGGATTACGTTCGACAGCCGAGATACCACTGTATATTGTAAGATAATACCTTACAAATAGGTCTGGTCGATACCCGGTTTTCAACACTGCGATAGATCACTGGCTAAACATTGCGATATACTGCTATATCACAATGTCTGAAATAAATATGGGGCTCGGTAGATGCATCGGCTGGCTTCACGGTTTTATCCACGTTGTGATTTTTGTATAGCGTACAAACACACATCATGATTCGCGATATACAGGTGAAACTCAAAAAATTAGAATATTGTGGAAAAGTTCATTTATTTCAGTAATTCAACTTAAAAGGTGAAACTAATATACGAGATAGACTCATGACATGCAAAGCAAGATATGTCAAGCCTTTATTTGTTATAATTGTGATGTTTATGGCGTACAGCTGATGAAAACCCCAAATTAACAATCTCAGAAAATTAGAATATTAAATGAAATCAGCAAAACAAGGATTGCAAATAGAGCAATATTGGACCTCTGAGAAGTAGAAGCATGCACATGTACTCAGTACTTGGTTTGGGCCCCTTTTGCATCAATTACTGCCTCAATGCGACGTGGCATGGATGCTATCAGCCTGTGGCACTGCTGAGGTGTTATGGAAGACCAGGAAGCTTCAATAGCAGCCTTCAGCTCTTTTGCATTGCTCAGTCTCATGTCTCTCATCTTTCTCTTGGCAATGCCCCGTAGATTCTCTATGGGGTTCGGGTCAGGCGGGTTTGCTGGTCAATCAAACACAGTAATCCCATGTCCATTGAACCAGGTTTTGGTACTTTTGGCAGTGTGGGCAGGTGACAAAGTCCTACTGGAAAATGAAATCAGCATCCCCATAAAGCTTGTCTGCGGAAGGAAGCATGAAGTGCTCCAAAATCTCCTGGTAGACTGCTGCGTTGATCCTGGACTTAATGAAGCACAGTGGACCAACACCAGCTGATGCCATGGCTCCCCAAATCTCTTTTCTGATGAGAGCAGCTTTTGCATCTCATTTGGAAACCAAGGACCCAGAGTCTGGAGGAAGAATGGGGAGGCGCACAATGCCAGATGCTTGAAGTCCAGTGTGAAGTTTCCACAGTCTGTGTTGATTTGGGGAGCCATGTCATCAGCTGGTGTTGGTCCACTGTGCTTCATTAAGTCCAGGGTCAACTCAAGGGGACTCTATACGTCTTCTCTGTCACGCTGATTTGTGCTTTATGTTTATGATGTACTTTCATTCTTTTTTCCCTTCCCCTTTAGCTTGGCAGACGTGTACCATTTTTTAAAAAAAGAAACCCTGGGTTGTCTGTCCGCTCTGATTCTTTTGTGTCCTTCATTTAAGTGGGTAATATTAAGTGTTGTGTTGTGCCTCTGTCTCCTTCCTGTTGTTTGCAGTGTTCTGTTAGTTTTGTTGGTTATATCAGTAAAGCCATTTTAAATAGATTTCATGTCGTCATTGTCATCGCTGGTGACCCAAATGAATAACATTATTCTTATTCTTATATCCTGTTTTTTCTTGGATTGGAACTCATGGCGGCGGCCTACACACATTAAACAGCACAGATAAAATACAGAATGTTCAAAGCATATACAATAGTTTAAAAGGAATTAAACTTCAATAGAATTGAAACAATATAAAAATTCCACGCATGACCATGGGGGAATGCTGGAGCTGGGAGTCCAGCCATATATTTGAAGGACTGAGAAGTTTTGTACTAAAAGCAGAGGAAGGATCTGGCCTTTATTCATACAACCATAGAATACAGTGGTGCCCCGCAAGACGAATGCCTCGCAAGACGGAAAACTCGCTAGACAAAAGGGTTTTCCGTTTTGGAGGTGCTTCCCAAAACGAATTTCCTATGGGCTTGCTTCACAAGACGACAATGTCTTGCGAGTTCCTGCTGTTTTTTTTCCCCTTCCCCCCCTTTTTCTAAGCCGCTAAGCCGCTTATCAGCTGATCCGACCAGCAGATAAGCCGCTAATAGCGCTGATCCGCTAATCCTTCAATGGGCTTGCTTCGCAAGACGAAAAAACCGCTAGACGAAGAGAATCACAGAACGGATTCTTTTCGTCTTGCGAGGCACCACTGTAGTCTTCTTTTGCGGTCACTCGTAGCCGAGTAAGATTGTCTTCCATGAGCACAATCTTAACAGTGTATCTGTAAGTGACTGTGGAGGCCAATTCTGGATCCACAAGTCCTTCCACAGTGGGGACATAGGTTTCCGGGCAGAAATTGATCCCAGTGAGGGTTTCCCAAGTGTGCCTTCCTTTCGTCCTGAGTTCAAGCTTCTTCAAAGCCCATGACACCTTTGGTAAAGGCTGTTCTCCAACTGGAGCGCTCGCAGGCCAGTGTTGCCCAGTTGTCAGTGTTTATACTACATTTTTAAAGATTTGCCTTGAGAGAGTCTTTGAACCTCTTTTGTTGACCACCAGCATTACACTTTCCATTTTTAAGTTTGGAATAGAGTAGTTGCTTTGGAAGATGATAATCAGACATCCGCGCAACATGACCAGTTCGACAAAGTTGACGTTGAAGAATCATTGCTTCGACATGGGTGCACTGACATTATTTCGCCTGTCTTCCCAAGTGGTATGTAAAAAAATTTGGAAACACAGTTGATGAAATCTTTCAAGGAGCTGGAGATTGTAAGTGGTCCATGTTTCACAAGTGTACAGTAAGGTTGGTAGTACAATAGTAAACAAGCATGCAAATGCCCCGGTCCCTCAAACCCTCTGCATTTTAATTGGGATAAAGCTGCACTCGCAGAGCTAGAGTTGTAAGGGATCCCTGAGGATCATCCAGTCCAACCTCCTACAATGCAGGAATCTTAGCTAAAGCATCCCTGACAGGTGGCCACCTGACCTGAGCTTAAAAACCTTCAAGGAAGGAGAGTCATTCGCTCCTCTTTCAGTGAACCAGAAAGAAAGCAAGAAAGAAAAGAGCGCAACTTCATCGCTCTTGCAACCAAAGGGTTACAGCGAGTGAGCCCCGGTTTCTAGAGGGGCTTCCCGGAAGGGGCGCGCCGACGAGGGGAACGTCCACTTCCGGTGCCCTCCTCTCCCCCTCCCGTGGGAAAGCGGACTTTGATTTTCCCACGCGGCGGCCTCCGGAGGGTCCGGCGGGGGTGCGGAGCGCCTTGCGGGTGCGCGGCCGAGCAGGGCCGCCCTGGGCGGGAGGCGCAAGGAAAGGAAGCGAGGCTGGAGCCCCGGCTCGGAGGTGCCCAGTCAGCGGAGAGAACAAAAGGCAGGGGAGGCCCCTGAATTTTGGGGTGCGGTTGCTGGCTAGCACCCCAATGCACCTCCTGTTTTGCAGGAATGTTCACATGCTGCGCTCAACGATTTTGCAGTTTTGTGCACCCAGGTATGCAAAAGGCTCGTCCGCACGTTACGCTGAACACGGGTCCAGGCTGCGCACGTGAGCAAGCGTTTGTGTGAACGACCGTACCCGTGTCGGATTGGCCCTCATTGCGGTTGCAAGCACGGATGATGTTGCTTGTTGAACGTTGCGTCTCCGTAGATGTGTTGCCCGTCTCTGCAAACCTCTCTGGGTCTCTTAGTCTCCTGGTAGCAGAAATGCTGGAGAGCTTCACAAATCGACAAGTGTAACGTGTGAATGCACTTCTCTTTGCTAATCCAGGAAAAGGAGGCAGCGTATTCCTGGGGATAGAGTTTGGGACGATTGTTCCATTTGAATGTGGATGCAAGGCTAGAGCCTGGGAGAGAACCTGTAAACAAGTTATACTAGATATAATTATGCTAGATATAAGAGCTGTTCAACAGTGGAACAGTCTCCCTCGGGAGATTGTGGACTCTCCTTCCTTGATGGTTTGTAAGCAGAGGTTGGATGGTCGTCTGCCATGGATGCTTTAGCTGAGATCCCTGCATTGCAGGGGGTTAGACTAAGATGACCGTGGGGGTCCCTTCCAACTCAACGATTCTATGCGTTGTAGTGATGAGGAAAATCTAGAAGCAGCCACGCCTGATTTAATTAGGCAGCTATGTTTAAAGGAAAAACAAAACCGCAAAGAACTTTACAAATGGAGTGTCTTAACCTGCTCTGTAAAAAGAAAAATCAGGAAATAGCTGGAGTTAGAGAGGATCATTCGCTTTTGTAATGTGTGGAAGCAGCTGCGTATGGAGAGTGTTTGAAAAGTATAGGCTCTGTGGGGGTGAGCCATTTTTGAATATATATCTATAAGCAAAAGGTACAGTAAAGATGTTTATTTTTGTATATATGATATGTTTTTTATGGTTCAGTAAAGTATTTTTTTTTCTATTAAAAACCCTGTTAAAATCTGAAAACCACAATTAAACACACAAATTGTTAGGGATGGGGGTCACTGCTAGAGTTGCTGTGTTTTGACATTGTACATAGCTGTGAATGAGATAAAAAGTTTTTATCTGTGGCCCCTTACGCGGAGGAAGAGTTCCTGCTTCCCTTCCCCACACTAACGCATATATTGTGTTCCCTCTGAATTTTGGTGTTATTAACTTGTCTGTTTTTGCAGAAAGAAGAAACGCCGAGTTGCTAGCTGCAATTCCCTTTTGCTGAAAACTACCTTCCATCGGGTGGTCTCAGACGGACCTTGCTCACCTTTGCTTGGGACTGGAACCCTAATTTGAAAATTCATACAGAGAGAAAGTGACAACAGAGCAAAGAATATCTTTCTGTTCTCGCTGGGTGCTGTGCTAGATTGCGAATGGAAGAACAGGACTTTGCCAGCCCTGATCCGGAATTAAACTGCCTTGCCACCCAGTCTGGGACCAGAGGGGAATTCTGGGAAAGGAGCCTGCAGAAGATGCCGGACCAAAAAGCCCTTTCTTTGGATGTACGTTGCTGGAGGTTCAGGCATTTCTGCTACCAGGAGGCTGAGGGACCAAGAGAGGTTTGCCGCCAACTCCGCCACCTTTGCCATCAGTGGCTGAAGCCGGAGAGGCACAACAAGACCCAGATTTTGGACCTGGTGATCCTGGAGCAGTTCCTGGCTGTCCTGCCCGGAGATGGAGAACTGGGTCAGAGATTGTGGCCGGAGACCAGTGCTGAGGCAGTCAAATAATAAATAATAAATTATTATTATTATTATTATTATTATTATTATTATTGATTATTATTATCATCATCATCAACATCAACATCACGTGACTTCACACATTAAACGCTTGCTTCTATCTGAGATTCAGGAAACACCATGACAGGAAATGAGGCCGCCGTCGGGCGTAGCAATGAAACTGACAATTCACCGTGCTAGAGAAGAACTAATTTTTTGGTGTTCTTATCCTGTTAGATTCACAAAATGTTTAAGCGTATGCGTACCCCTGCACCCCCCCCAAAAAAACACTTCTCAGAATAGTCTGAGGCTAGATGCCTTGACTTGGGACGCGGGTGGCGCTGTGGGTAAAAGCCTCAGCCGCCTAGGGCTTGCCCGATCGAGAAGGTCGGCGGTTCGAATCCCCGCGGCGGGGTGCGCTCCGTCGTCGTCGTCCCAGCGCCTGCCAACCTAGCAGTTCGAAAGCACCCCGGGTGCAAGTAGATAAATAGGACCGCTTACAAGCGGGAAGGTAAACGGCGTTTCCGTGTGCGGCTCTGGCTCGCCAGAGCAGCGATGTCACGCTGGCCACGTGACCCGGAAGTGTCTCCGGACAGCGTGGCCCACGGCCTAAGAGTGAGATGGGCGCACAACCCTAGAGTCTGGCAAGACTAGCCCGTACGGCGCCAGGGGTACCTTTACCTTTACCTTAGATGCCTTGACACAGGACGCGGGTGGTGCTGTGGTCTAAACCAGTGTTTCCCACCTTGTGCCTCCAAGCTGTTTTTGAACTACAAACTCCCATCAATCCTGACTAGCAAGACCAGTGGCAAGGATGAATG